TACCAGGAGGCAGAACATTGGCAACAAACCTGCGTCGTAACGTGTTCGCAACTAGAGGATGACAGAGTCAGCCCTCTCGGGCTGACGGAGGACGTAACGGGGCTTCGGGACATGACTCGGCTCTGGGCGGCCGTTCTGGACGATTCGGGCACCCCCGGAACGCTCTCGGCGAGGCGAAGATCCCGAGGCTGGAAAACCGCCAGGCTCCTGCGAAAACTGCCGAAAACCTCGAACCACGAGCCCGAAACTCCCCTAGCGTTGCCCCTGATATCTGACCGCCCCCCCCCCACCCCCGGAGGGGCCCAAGGCCACCAGATAAATGCCCTCCAGTGGCCCGTCGCTATAGGCCGACTGGAGGACGAGCAGCGCCTCCAGCTCCGCCTGGCTGCCGAAGGCGCGCTCGGCGAGGCGCGGCACGGCGGGAATGCCTAGGAGAGCGCCAACCATGCACCTACACTAATCCCTCTGGCTTGATGGCCAGGAAGGAGTATACTGGAGGCCTCCCGGATTGGTCGGGGTCGGAGGATCGCGCCGAATCGCCGATGCATCACGTGCAGAAAATCGGGCTCCAATGCACCGGCTATGCGGCGCGATCCTCCGACCCCATCTGCTCGGACCCCCCCTGGGAGGCCTGGATGTGTGCGCCTTCCTGGCTAGAGGGCCAGGCGGGCGCATGCACCAGTCCTGGGCCCAGGATCGACCTGCCCAGGAACGGCAGAAGCGAGTGGTTGGCGCCCTCCGAATGCCCCCGCGCAGCTGGCGCAGGCGCCGGTCGCGCTCGCGGGCGCTGACGAAGCGGCCCTCGCGCTGGTCGGCGGCGCGCCCCACGGGAAGGCACAACCCTGAGATCCGTGCGGGGAAGTTTCGGAAGTGTTCGGAAGGCTTCGAGGCCCTGGGCGGTGTCCATCAGCTGCGCCTCGTCGAGGGCGTTCTGGGGCCAGAGTCGTCCCGGACAGCCGCTAAGGAGCCGAGTTCTGATCCGAAAACCAGGGCAGCCCTCAGATCCTGTCGACACAATATTTTCACACAACGGCGGATAGATCCAGATAGAAAAATGCCGCAGAAAGGTGGGGTCCAGGGCCCAGGTCAAATTGTTCTGCGGAGTTGCCATTGTGTGGCAGCCTCAGGGAGGGGGCGGGCCGTCTCAGAAGGCTAAGAGAGCCTCCAGCCTTCTGAAAAGCTTTCTGGGCCTTCTCCGAAGCCACGGGGGGCTACTCCGAAGGGACTGGGACAGGGACAGCTGCCCGTGGATAGGCGGAGCGGGTCCTCCTCCCCGGCAGTGCGCCGGGCCAGAAAATTAAGCAGCGTAGCGTAAACATATTCTGGGTGCGGGACTGGGTGAAAGCTGCTGCGCCCGCCAGCTGCTCAAAGGCTGGAGGCCTTCTCCGAAGCCCCGCCGCCTTCTGAGAAGGCCTGCCCCATCTGTGGAAGAGGGCTGGGGGGCCAGGTCTGCTGAACACCCCAAACGGACGTCAAGGGGTGCAACCACCCTGTTGGGTCAAGCTGCAATTGATGCACCACACCTGGCGTCAAGCCAAAACTCTGGACATAAGCGAAATGGTTGGATGTTGCGCATCTTCGTCGGCTTAACTGGCAAGGCGTTTGGCCACCTTGACGTCCCTTGTTTGGTGGTCCTGCAGAGGAAGGCGCTCTCTGACCCTCGGCCCTACTCAACCCATCTGCCTTCCCCCATCGGCACGCCGCCGAGCTTGTTGTAGATGTCGAACGCCACGAAGTAGGCTGGCAGCCTCGTATACTCCACGCTGTGGCGCTGCCACACCCACTCCCCGAAGAGAACCTCGACCTCGGGGGCGAGGAGCTGCGCCACCTCCAGGCCGCGCGCCCGGAGTGGAGGGGCTAGGAGCCTGCGATCGGCTGCGCGCGAGAGCGACCCCAGGCGACAGTGGCCTCTGGTGCGCGCGGCGTTGGGGGGGGCGCGGGGGGGCCAAGTCCAGGCGCGCAAGCCAGTGCTGGGGGGGACCCCTGTTGAGTCCGCACCAGGAGGTCACTCCAGCGAAGGGTCTCTCTCGTGTGTAGCAAGTGCGTAATTTGTCGGGGCCCGCCCCTGGCGCGCGGAACGCGCCGCGGGCGGGGCCGACCCAAGAAATCCGCGCGGACCTCCGAATGCTTGTGCTTACGCCATCGTTTGTTCTTCGAAGAGCCTGGATCTAGACCTGGACCCTCGCCACACCCCACCAGCCCCTCCCACCACCCCCTCCGCCTGCCCCGTCAGCGCCGCGCCTTCGTCTCTACCCATCTCCTGTCACGAGGCCCATCGGCCCTCAAGAACCCTTGGGTCGAGATCTGTGCCTCGACCTCCCCTCCCCCGTGTCCTCTCTTCCTCCCCTCCAACTTGGCTGCACGCAGGAAGAAGCGGAACGAGACAAAAAGGGCACCCATCCCTCACACACCCCTCCTCTCGTCCACCCTACCCCTTTACTACCCCTCCCAGTTCCCCACCCCCTCCCCTCCCCTCCCCTCCCCCTTGTCCCCCCACCCCATCCTTCTGTTCCTTTTCCTCCTCCGTGGCATACGCCAACATTCGGGGATGGACAGACCCCCCTTTAGTAAAACGTGGTTTAGTGAAAACGACATGAGGCCCAAACATGGCGGGCGCAAGCCTGGAAAATAACGGCCACAGCGCCCTCTCGAGAACCGAAAACGGACAATTCACTAATCGACGTGTCACTGTTGGGGGTTCTGTCCACCCCCGAAACATGAACTGGGATCCGTGGACCTGTCGCGTGAGTGTCAGACACGCGGACCGAGGAAGATACAACCCCGAACATGAGAACTGTGGCAACCCATACAGAATTTGGCGCCGGTTTCGTACGGAAGCAGGCCCCGTCGCTAACCCACGCGCACTGACCCACGTTTGCGATTCCTCGATTATGCTTCCTGTCTTCCTCCACTTCTTCTCGTTGTCAGCCCCCTCCCCCTCCTTCTCCGCCTCCTCCTCCTCGTCCTCCACCTCCTCCTCCTCCTCCTCCTCCTCCTCCTCCTCCTCCTCCTCCTCCTCCTCTGGGAAAGGAGCTGCGTGACCTCCCAGCCGTGCTCTTCCCACCAAGCGTCGAGGCCCTTCCACTGCGTGGCGTACTTGCTGGTGATGTAGTGGGCCCTGTTCTGAAACCTTGGCTCCCAGTCCGCCGTGAGGGAAATGCCCAGATTGGCGCCGTCGATCTTCTCCTCTTGGCAGCGCCCACAATGGGGTGGCGGGAGCGAGAACGGGCCTCTGAGAAGGCGGGGCGGGGCGTCTGAGGGGCCTTCTGCGAAAGGCCTTGCGGCTTCTGCGAAAGGCTTCCAAGAAGGCTTATGAGAAGCCTCTAGGACACCTTCTGAGAGGGCCCCTGCCTTCCAAGAAGCCCCTCCGCCCTTTTCGAAGGCCTCACCGAGAGCCGACGTCACTAAACAAAAAAAAAAAAAAAAAAAACTCGCGAGAAAACTCGGTCGTGGCCATGGACCCCATCTTGCTGCTGCATGTTTCGAGTCGGATCGATCCATGAGGGTCCTGGGGTCCGAAACAAGGCAGAGTCGCCCGCTGCGAAAAAGAAGTACGACGCCAGGGTCTCAGGGTTGTGAGCGCCGCCGCCAGCTCCTCCACTATCAGGACGTTCTGGCCGTTGAAGAACAGCTGCGCGTCCGAGGGGCTCAACAGCCTCAGATGCTCGCTCGGGGGACCCTTCTGGAGCCACTCGCACCACTCAAGCGTCGATGCTGCGTCGAACATCCGTTGATTAGAGAGGAACTTGAGTCGACCTGGAGTCGAACTAGAGTCGAATGAGAGTCAAATCAGAGTCGGTCGGTCAGACCCGCTAGGTGGGCCCCAGGAAGATCCCCTAAACGAGCATCTCATCAGCCTGTCGCTCTCCTGGAGGGCGCGGCCGTGCGTTAGGTCCAGGACGTGCGGCGTGGACGGGAACTTGAAGAACCCCGGCGGCCTCGCCTCAGGCGGCATGGCGCCCCAGCACCGCAGTAGGTGGTCGGCCTCGCGGAAGCTGCGGAGCACGATGACCTCCTCAAAGCCCTCGTAGAAGAAGAAGAAGAAGAAGAACGGCACAAACAAAAACTTTCGAAGGTCCGCGCGGATTTCTTGCCTCGGCGCCGGAGGCGCCGCCAGGGAGGCCCAGGCGCCGATCCAAGAAATCCACGCGGACCTTCAAACGTCGATGTTTATGCCGCTCTTTCTTCTTCGACCTCGTCCGTCGTGGGAACCTCCAGGTCCTTTGGTAAAGCTTCGGGGGCGCACATAGCAGCCCGCGGAGCACCCCAGGGATGCCGCCAGAGGCGGCGCAGGAGTGTTGAGACCGCCCTGGACCTCTGGGAGCCTGTTGAGGCCAGCTGGGACTCCCTGGAAGGTGCGCGACCTCGGGGGGCTGTCAGTGCACAACCCGAAGCCTTACCGAGGTCCTTCTGCATGCTCCGCACGGCGCTCCGGCCGCCCCCGTACCGGATGGTGGGGTGGTCCGTGCGGCTCGCCACGCGGTCCGCGCACGCCTGCTCAGGGTGGTCGAGGAACACGCAGACGGCGCGCCGAGGATGTGACAGGAAGGAAAGCGGCACACAAACATAACCGTTTGGAGGACCGCGCGGATTTTGTTCGGGGAAACGTGAGACTCGGGTTCGGGGGACTCGGGCTGACCTGACGGGGCCGTCTGGAAAATGGCGAGACCCAATATAAAAAAATTGACGCGAACTCCCGCTGCAAATATCCCACGAAAACTGGACCGTCTAAATCCGAGACGGGCCTGTCAAAAAGCGTCAGCAAGCCGGAATTCTGGCGAGCTCGAGTCTTACGTTTCTCCGAGTCTTGGATCGGCGCCGCACCCCCCCCGGCGGCGCCTTCGGCGCCGCCCTTGGCGCGCTCCGCGCGCCAGGGAGGGCGGCCTGGCATCGATCCAAAAAATCCGCGCAAAACTCCGAACGTTTCGATTTACGCCGCTTTTCCTCCCCCGAGGATTGAAGGCCAGGTCAAGGAAGGCTTTCCGGTCAGTCCTCCTGACGTTGGTGCGGTCCAGGATCAGCCGCTTGCATGGGTCCTTCGCGATGCGCCCGACGTCCGTCTCGAACGCGCTGCGGCCAGAGAGCTCGTCTTGGCAGACGCGCACCCAGCCGCCCCCGGAGGCAACGAGCTGGTCCGCAAAGGAGCTCTTCCCAGACCCAGGGAGCCCGACCAGCACGACGACCGCGGGCTGCGCAACCTTGAGGACAACAAACTGCATAAACGTCTGCGCGGATTTCTTGGATCGGCGCTGGGCCCCCCTCCGAGGCGCGCGGAGCGCGCCAGGGGCGGCGCCAGATGCGCCGCCAGGGGGGCCCAGCGCAGATCCGAGCAAACCGCGCGGACCTCCGAGAAAGTACGCGCATGCCGTGTCTTCGTTTTCGGAGTACGTATCCACGGCTTCCAGAGTCCAGCCCCGAGTCCATGGCTGACGGGCGGTGGCCGAGGATACCTGCCCGCCCGCGGGGGCGAGCAAAGATGATCCGCGTACACCGCTCCCCCGGATCCTGGTGGCACAACTCGGTGGACCTGGATCCGAATCTGGCCAACTCTGACAACCCGCCGCCTTCCGCCGGCAGGCCCGCCGCCGGTTCCATTGCACTTCCTTTTTTTTTCTAACGCTACACCCTCTAAGAGTCCTTATGGATGTCTTGCGACGGGCCCTATCAAAAACTACCGATATCTCGGCGCAGCATAATTCATTCAAGACGAATTAGCTGGGGCCAGGAGGGAACGCAGAGGCAGGGATGACGGGAAGCACTGGCCTACCGCCCACAGGGTCCCACCCCCGAGCACCCCCTCCTCTAAGGGGATGGCACTTCGAGAGCGGCCGCAGCGGGACCCTCTTGTCCCGCCGCAGGCCCTCGACCCAAAAGGTACCTAGCTTCCTCGGTCTCTTGGGACCGTTCCAGATCTGAAAAACCTATCCAACCCACGGGGCTCGCTGGAGGCCTCAGCAGGGGCGTTCACTTCAGCTTGGAGCGCTTGAGGTGTTTCTTGCCGCCGCCGCCGCCGCCCTTGAACACCAGCTTCTCGAGCTCCTTCACGTCCCTGCTCCTGGGGGCGGGATCGTCCTCGAGCACCACGTTCACTGACAGTACGGCCAGGCCGCCGTTCACCTTCAGGCAGTACATGGCCTGCAAGAGAGGAGGATGCGCCATAGCAGCGAATATCCACTTGGTTCCTTCCACCGTCTTGCCGTCGACGTCGGTCTTCGTCTGGACGTCGAAGCAGCGAGTCGCTATGACCTGCACCTCCTTGCTGTTCAAGCTCTTGCCGAATTCGACCGCCAGGCGCATCGCCTCCTTCGACTCGGCTGGCTGCGGCCCCTGGGCCACTGCTGCGCGAACGTCCTCGAGCTTGCCCTCGATCGCCTCGCTCAGGCGGGACAGCAGCATGCGGAGGAAGGCGTCGGGCTTCTTCCCGAGCGGGCGGCCGCGATCCTCGCTGGGCTCGGCCGCGGCGCGCGCCTCCTTGCCAGCCCTCTGGTAGTTCTGGATGCTCGCCGCGAGCGCCAGTTGCATCTGAGATCCCGTCTTCAGCTTCACCACCACGTTCTGGTCGCGCTCCGAGCCCCTGAAGTTGTCCTCGTGGCGGAGCAGCAGCTTCGTCATGAGCTTGTCCTTCTTCGAGATGCCCGACTGCTCCACGTCCTCGTGTTCGGCTCCGCCCTCGCCGACCTCGGCCTTGGCTGCGTCCCTCTTCTTGATGATGTCCGCCGCGGGCTCGAACATCGGGAGGAGGCGCCGAGGGCGGCAGCGGTGGCCCCGCAGGTGGGTCTGGAGCACGCAGAGAGCCAACGCGCTGCGGGCAACGGTGTTGGACATGACGAAGAAGGACATCTTTGCGAGAGAAAGAAGCACTGCAGAAGGGGCATCTCTTAGCATTCAGATCGGCGATGGGGATATCCAACCGATTGGCAACAATGCCATGCACCGCAAACCTGTGATTCTCCAATCCTTTCTGGCCCTGGCATGCTTTTCCACAATCTGGGCAAACGAGGCGATGCTCTTCATCTATGACGCCAGCTTCGCGGAGTCGGTCACTCTCAGCTTCGTGTGAGAGGACGGCTTTGAGCTCTGCGTGTGAGAGCATGTCTAGCCACTCCAGCCAGTCTCGTGAAACTGTCGGTGAATCGTTCGGAGCGCGCGTCTGGCTCTCCTCGGGAAGGCAAGCCCGCAACGCACGAAGATCTGCGAGAAGTTGCCCCATTCGACAATTGTGATTTCGACTGTGGGGGTCCTCGAACGAGAGTCGGCCGAAGATTACAGCCCGTACAGCCTCGGTGGGGTCATACTCTGGTCTTTCTGCTTGGAGCCCAGGAGCAATCACGTGTCGCCACCACTGCAGCCTACGATACAGTAGAGTTGAGCTCATACTATAGACTTTGGCACGACGTCGAATATCTACATTAGAGGCATGGTGAAGATGAGCAGGGGAGCGAAGAATATGCCGAAGTTTCTTGGTTTGCCACCGTTCGAGTTTCTTCAAATCCGTCTTCGTGAGAAAGGCAACTTCTAGTGCGTAGAGGGCGATAGACCGTACTAGCGAATTCCACAAGCGTATCTTGAGATGTAAACTGAGGTTCCCCTTCAGAACCTTCTGGGACAGCCGGCCGTGGGCCTGGTTGGCGGAGGTCAGGCGAGCCTTGACCTCAGCCGAAGACGACCCCGTCGCTGAGAGCAAACAGCCAAGGTACTTTACAGTCGGCGTCGGGTGGATCGCACGAGCCTGGCCGTCGGCGTGGGTCAAGCTAATGCCAGTCTGCTTAGCACTGATTCTCTTCCGTACCCGTCTGCACCCCTTCCCCACCACGTTCACCATCAGCTCTGTTTTCGGGACATTCATGGTTAAGCCGCTGGCATTAACGTGGATCCTCAGAAACTCTAGGAACTCGGATACCGTCGCTAAGTCGTCAACCACTGTCAACGCGATTAGGTCGTCTACGAACTTCACCTGGGACGCATCTAGCATCCGCAACTCGATAGTGGAGAAACCGACTGAATTCCTGAAGACCTGGAACTGGGGGTCGTACAGCACCTGGATGCCCTGAAAACCCTCCTCCAACGCCTTGGACCCGATGTCTTTGGTAATGAGATCGTAGATGGCGATGAAAAGCCCAGGCCCCTCCACACTGCCTTGTCTCACCCCTTTGCGAATAAGTAGTTGCCTACAAGGTTTGTTAGTACGGGCATCTCGAAGGATATAGCAGGTCCCGTTGTAGAGCTCCTCAGTAACTAAGCGGGTACAACGGGAGAGCGCCAGCCGATCTAACGCCTCCCAAACTTGACTTCGGGTCAGGAGGTCGAAGGCCTTCTCAAGGTCGATCAATGCTGCAATCAAGATGCGATAGTCGGTCTTGGTGCGACGGGGGTTCTCACGAAAACGACGGCCGATCTCGTCGACGAGGGCGATGGCGTCGCGAGTCGATCGACCTTGAAGGGCCCCAAACTGAGTAGCGGAAAGCCGGCCTGACATTGCCCGCAGCTCGGGCATGATGACCACGTTGGCGAAAGCCTTACCGATGTGGCCAATCAGGTTGATCGTCCTATAGTGATCCTTAGCATTCCTCCCGTCTCCTTTAGGTTTGCGTAATGAAACTGTCTCTCCGTTTTTAAACCTTTGTGGAACGCGGCGGAAGGCTTGAGCGGCCCGAAAGACTCCAAGAAGAGGCCCCCCTACAAGATCACTGCCAAGCTTCCAAAGTTCAGCTACTGCGCCTTCGGGGTCTGGTCGAGGCCCATTAGAGTTCGAGGGGTCCGTCCACTTCAGCACAGGGGCGCTCTTGAAGTTGGGGAGCCTGCTGAGGGCCTCGGTGATGTCGTCCACTTCGTACTGGCCTACGAGCTCCTCGTCGGGTTCCTCGGGGATGTCCTGGGGGCCTCCATCCTCTTGCATGGGCAACTCCGTGGCCTCAAAAATGGCACAGAGGGCATCGGTGCGGACCCGCTGGTCCTCGACGTCGTCGAAGCACGGGTAGCCCGTGGCTGGGTTGCGGACAGTCAGCATAGGCATGCGGGGCTTGGGCGCAAGGCGCTTGACGATCGAGTAGCAGCGTCTGATATCATGGACGGCATCGGCACGCTCTGCGTCGGCCACCAGGGCCGCAATGTGTTGTCGCCTCTCCGATCGCACTGCCTGCTTTGCTCTCTTTGCCGCCCGTCGGAACTGCGACAAGATGGATTTGTAGAGCCACGAGCTATGATCTATGATATTGGGAAGCATTCTCTGAAAGTACTGCTTGTGTCTGACCAACGCCAAGGTCGCGTCAGTGAGGTTCTTCTGTGGAGTCACCTTTGGTGAATCTACATAAAGCGGGTAAGCTGCGTCGACTACTGCTCCTTCCACGGAGTTGTAATAGCTAGATGTCGTGGTATATCGTTGGTGGGTGCCACACTCTTGTTGCCAGTGTCCAGTGATGGCACGAACTCGGAGCTCGTGGCGGAGCCTACTGCGAAAGTCTTGTACACGTGCTGGTACCTCATCCGAGTGTTGAAGAAGTTTGAGATCATGAAGCAGAAGGTCACGGTTCCACCGAACAGGTGGGTCCTGGCGAAGCCGCTGGCATCTAAATCGGGCTGAGATCGTGGCTTCGAGAGGGCGGTGGTCGCGAAATCCTCCCATGCTGACGGGCAGAGAATGTAGGACGCGAGCTCCATGTCCGTAGCCTCCTTGCAGTCTGGTGCAGATGTAGTCTATCTGATTCCATGTGGTGCCATCAGTGTGAAGCCAGGTCCCCGCATTCTTCTTGCGGCTGCCATGAGTATTCAACGCTGTCAAACCGTTGTTCTGAAGGACAGAAAGAAAGTGGCCGCCGTTCAAATTCGTGGTTCTCGGATGTCTATCGACTCCAGCATGGCCGACGTTAGGAAGTTCAGGCGCCACCGTACCATTGGCATCGAGACACCAAATCAGTGATGATCTCTGGGGCACTCGTCGTATGATGTCGTCACAGGTCTGCCAGAAAACGGCCTGCGCTTGTCTATGTTCAGCTTGTACTCGGTCTCTGACAGCTGCCGCCACATGAGTGCTCGCCGTGTTGGTTGGCGCGTAGCCGTTCAGGATGTAGAGGTCTCGCTCACGGGCTCCTGTACGTCGAACGCGGAGTCCCAGAAGTCGGCCAGGTATCCATTCATGGACGCATCGGACCTCCAGCGGGTCAAAGAAGTGCAGGTTAAGCGCCGTCAAGCAGCCGTCCTTCGCGCGTGGAGATGTCCTCGGGGTTGGGTAGACGCGAAAGCCCGCGCTGGTCCAGGATGTGGTGGCTCCCATGAGAGTGCTCTGAAAGCAAACGACAGCGATCTGTCGCTCACGTGCGTGTCGTAATAATTCTCCCAGGCGGTCAATGTATATCAGTGATTCTGTGTTGTAGCTCCATACCTTCATGAGGTGGGTAGGTCTTGGTCGTCGTGGTCTGGAAGGTCGCAACGAGCTCGAGGAAACGTCGGTGACCGTCGGGAAGGACGTCACGTCATGCTTAGAATAGTAGGCAACCGTGGGGCGTGTCAGCAACTGGCCTCGGTACCAACTGCTGCCTGTCACCACCGCGAGTCTCACCGCACGTCTCCAGGCCCGTTTGCCACCCATGGGCCCTGGTTCCAGCCTGCGCTTGCCGTCGTGGGACGCCTGCACGCTGTCCTCGGAGGTCGGGCAGCCTCCGAACGCTCACCTCGCTGGCGTCGAAGCAACTAGCAGCGCCCCGCCGCGCCACAGGCATCGCTCATGGCGGGTCTGGCAGGGCACTCGCGCGGGTCGCAGCCAGGGGGGGACTTGCGACCCCCCTCCCCTTCGGAGGCAAACGGATCCTTTGAGCCGTCGAGGCTTCATTGCACTTCCGCCGGCTTCCGCCAGCCTACCCCTGCTTCCGCCGAAGCCGAGATGCGCAGATGGCGAGGTGCGCCGAAGGCGAGGTCTTCTCTGGAACGTCTTACATGTTCCCTGAGATCCGATGTCACCAAAAGTTTCAACACCACTTGTATTATATTATGGTCGAAAACCCCAAACCTTGCTCGCGCAAAACAGGTCACAAAAGAAACAATTGCTTGCCACAGCGGACCCCAAACAATGATATGTTGCCTTCTATGCGGCGAAATCTAGGTGGTGCAGTCAATGTGCTGCAATCTGGGCGGTGCAATCTGTGTGGTGCAATATTTTCTTTGTCAGTGCAAAACAGTACAAAGCAAAGCAAAGCAATGCACAGCAATGCAAGGCAATGCAAAGCAGTGCAAAGCAACGCAAAGCAACGCAAAGCAATGCAACGAAATGCAAAGCATCGCAATGCGATTGCAATGCAAAGCAATGCAAAACAATGTAAAGCAATGCAACGCAATGCAAAGCAATGCGAAGCAGTGCAAGGCAACGCCAGGTCCTGCAACGCAACAGGATACAACGCAAGGCAATGCAGCGTAACGGAAAGCAAAGCAATAATGCGACGCGACTCGAATGCAGCTGCCATGCAATGCAAAGCAAAAGACAAAAGCCATGCAAGGTAAGACAAGACTGTGGGACGGCGACGACGGGGCGGCGACGGCGCCCACAAGGCGGCGGACCAGACAGAGGAGCCCAGTCCCTTAGAAAACGAGTGAGGACCCCAGAGTGCAGGAACTGTCTGGGGACAGGGAACATCGGCAGCACCTCTGGACCCCCTCTTGCTGCTGCATCTTCGAGCCAGATCGATCCGTGAGGCCCCGAGGCCAGAACAGCAAGCCAAAACCGCCCTCTGCGAAACGATGCGACGCCCAGGATCTCAGGGCTCTGGCGGTGGAACCTTCGGCCTCCACGCGAGGGGCGCCGCCACCTCCCGCGGCTCCGCCCCGCCAGCCGCCTCGCCGCCAGCGCCGCCCCCCTCTGGCGCGCTCTGCCGCTGCTCGGCGCACTCCTGGGGGGACGGAGAAAAAGCAACGGTCCCGCTGCGCCCTGGACCTGTCCCGGGGTGCGTTCTGACCAGAGCTTCGACGAGAATCCAGCCGCGGCGACGAGGGCCTCCCAGGAGGGCGAAGCTACGATACCAATCCCGGTGGGGATGGGGATAGGTCAAAAGGTTAAAGCACCAGAGTCTGAGTGGTTTAGCAAGTTTCCCCTTCCAACCCTCTTCTTCACCTTCGGGGAGGGGCTTGCCTGGACTGGGCCTTCCGCGAGGCGTTAGAGCGTCCAAGATGGCCTCGGCGAGGAAGCCAAAATCTGCCGACCCTGTGTCGGCGTGTGTGAGGGGCTTGTCCGTTCCCGTCGTTCGTCGTCGTCTCCGTCGTCTCCGTCGTCTCCTCTCCCTGCCCCCACACTTTCCCTGGGCCAGTCGTCTCCTGTCCCTGCGTTCCCCCGTTCCCTGGGCTGTCTCCCCTCCTCCCCTTTCCCCCTCTTCCCTGGGCCCGTCGCCGCTCCCCCCCGCTTTTCCAGGGCCTCCCCCTCAAGAGCAACGTTGTCATTGAGTCGAAGGGAAGCCCCTCCCCTTGAATCCCTTCCCTGCCAGAGGGGGGGGTCCTGGGGGGGGTCCAGGGGGTCCCGGGGGGGGTCCCGGGGGAGTCCCGGGGGGGTCCCGCGGGGAGTCCCGAGGGGAGGTCCACGGGGGGTCCCGCGTCAGATACGACTCCCCCCCTGGGGGTCCCAGGACCCACACAAAGCCTCAGACGGGCCAAGAGCCGAGGCATTCCACCACGCCCTCTCCTCCCCCCTCCTCATCTCCATCCTCATCTCCATCCTCATCTCTCCTCTCCTCTCCTCCATCCATCCTCCTCTCCTCCGCCCTCTCCATCCTCCTCTCCTCCTCTCCTCCTCTCCATCCTCCTCTCCTCCCCCCTCCTCCCTCCATCCTCATCTCTCCTCTTTCCTCCGCCCCCCTCCAGAACCGCACCGGCCCCCTGGACGCTCGGCCACGGGACACGCCAGGACCCTGAATCCCACCAGCCCTTTGGGCGTGAGTGGTTTAGGGAGCTCTCTCTGTCCTCAACCCCCCTTCTTCCCCTTCGGGGAGGGGTTTACCCCTCCCCCTACCCCCTCCCCCTGGACCTGGAGAGGGAGTTCCGCGGGTCGTCAGGGGGGTCTTTTTCGACGTCTGGGAGGGCCAAAAAACGACGACCCTCACGAGGATTCTGGCCCCGAGGGGGGGGGGGGGAGTTTGGTGCCTCAGCTCGTCTTTGAAGCAAAAATCATTGATTTTACTATGGTTTTGGACCCATTTTGGGCTTCTGAGGGGGCAGCGCTCATCGTCCTTCATAGCAAAATCATTGATTTTACGAAGGTTTTGGGCTCACTTTGTCCTTCTCAGGGGGCAGCGCTCACTTGCGCTTCTGAGGAGGTCGCAAGAGGCCCCAAGATGGCCCCAAGAGGCCCCCAAGAGGCCCCCAAGAGGCCTCCAAGAGGCCTCCAAGAGGCCCCCAAGAGGCCACAAGAGGCCCCCAAGAGGCCCCCAAGAGGCCCCCAAGAGGCCCCAAGAGGCCCCAAGAGGCCCCCAAGAGGCCCCCAAGAGGCCCCCAAGAGGCCCCCAAGAGGCCCCAAGAGGCTCCAAGAGGCCCCCAAGAGGCCCCACGAGGAGCCCGAACGACTCACACCAGGACGAGGGGCCCGAACGACTCACACCACGAAGAGCCCGAACGACTCACACCACAAGGAGGGCCCGAACGACTCACACCAGGACGAGGCGCCCGAACGACTCACACCACGAGGAGCCCGAACGACTCACACCACGACGCGGGCCCCGAACGACTCACACCACGAGGAGCCGGAACGAGTCACACCAGGAGGAGGGGCCCGAACGACTCACACCAGGACGAGGGGCCCGAACAACTCACACCACGAGAAGCCCGAACGACTCACACCAGGACGAAGAGCCCGAACGACTCACACCACGAAGAGCCCGAACGACTCACACCAGGAAGAAGGGCCCGAACGACTCACACCAGGACGAGAAACCCCAAACGACTCAAACCACGAGGAGCGCTTTCTCTCCCTCCTCCTCCGCCTCGTCCTTCTCCCGCTCCCCCCACAAGGAGGATGTACAAGGAGGCGGGAGGAAGGAGGAACAGGGGAGATATGCGGGGCCAAGCGGACACACGCCTGAAAAACACGACTGTCGGCATGCTTCGCAAGAGTTGCTGCTGTGAGATGGGCTGGTGGGGATACGCGAAGCGTAAAGAATTCCGAGGACCACGAGGCCCTCCAGGACCCAGCCCCGAGGACCTCCCCCTAGGACCCAGCACCAGGAACCAGCCCCACCAAAGTCCAGGACTCCCAGGCCCCAGGCCTTGTTCGCCTCGTCCTGCTTCTATTAATTTCCCCCTCTCCTCCTCCTCCTCCTCCTCCTCCTCCTCCTCCTCCTCCTCCTCCTCCGCCGCCTCCGCCGCCGCCGCCGCCGCCGCCGCCGCCGCCGCCGCCGCCGCCGCCCTCCTCCTCCTCCTCCTCCTCCTCCTCCTCCTCCGCCGCCGCCGCCGCCGCCGCCGCCGCCGCCGCCGCCGCCGCCTCCTCCTCCTCCTCCTCCTCTCCTCCTCCTCCTCCTCCTCCTCCTCCTCCTCCTCCTCCTCCTCCTCCTCCTCTCCTCCTCCTCCGCCTCCTCCTCCTCCTCCTCCTCCTCCTCCTCCTCTCCTCCTCCTCCTCCCCTCCTCCTCCTCTCCTCCTCCCTCCTCGTCCTCCTCCTCCGTCCTCCTCCTCCTCCTCCTCCTCCTCCTCCTCCTCCTCTCCTCCTCCTCCTCCTCCTCCTCCTCCTCCTCCTCCTCCTCCTCCTCCTCCTCCTCCTCCTCCTCCTCCTCCTCTCCTCCTCCTCCTCCTCCTCCTCCTCCTCCTCCTCCTCCTCCTCCTCTCCTCCTCCTCCTCCTCCTCCTCCTCCTCCTCCTCCTCCTCCTCCTCCTCCTCCTCCCTCCCCTCCTCCTCCTCCCTCCTCCTCCCTCCTCCTCCCTCTCCTCCCCCTCCTCCCTCCTCCTCCCTCCTCCTCCCTCCTCCTCCTCCTCCTCCCTCCTCCTCCTCCTCCTCCTCTCCTCCTCCCTCCTCTCTCCTCCTCCTCCTCCTCCCTCCTCCTCCTCCTCCTCTCTCCTCCTCCTCCTCCTCCCTCCTCTCCTCCTCCTCCTCCTCCTCCTCCTCTTCCTCCTCCTCTCCTCCTCCTCTTCCTCCTCCTCTCCTCTCCTCCTCCTCCCTCCTCCCCTCCTCCTCCTCCTCCTCCTCCTCCTCCTCCTCCTCCTCCTCCTCCTCCTCCTCCTCCTCCTCCTCCTCCTCCTCCTCCTCCTCTCCTCCTCCTCCTCCTCCTCTCCTCCTCCTCCTCCTCCTCCTCCTCCTCCTCCTCCTCCTCCTCCTCCTCCTCCTCCTCCTCCTCCTCCTCCTCCTCCTCCCGCAGTGGGCTTCGCATTGCGCGGGTGTGGACGGCCTGGAAGGCCCTCTGCCCCCGTGACTTCGCCCCAGGCGCCGCCACGCCCAGCATGGGGTGGGGTGCTTTGGCGCGCGCATGTGAGCTCCGCCGTAGGACGCTCGCCTGGACTGCTCTGTGGGCCGCGACGCAGCGCCTGACCATACTCGTCGGGAGGCTCATCAGAGTCTTCATGGCGTACGATCGCCAACTCTTGTTGGAATGGCGAGCCGCGGAAGCGCAGCGTGCTGCGGATCGACGCGATTGAAAGGGGGTGTATAGTGTCGTGCGCTCTTTGGAGGGAGTGAGTGCACCGTCCGTGGCGCGCCCCGTGCGCAAGACAGACGGCCAACTCACGGCTAGCGAATCAGAGCGCCAGGCAAGATGGCACGAGCACTTCAAGGACGTGTTCCGCGGCACCAGCGTGAGCATGGCGGACCTTGGCGCCATGCCGTTGGAGCCGCCGTTGGACAGCAGCTACAGAATGTGTGTGACGAACACCGTGCAGGCATGGATGCGCCTGGGCCGCAACAAGGGTGTCGGCAGGGATGGCACATCCCGGCCGAGTTCCTCCAAGCGACAGCCACGGTCTCGGCCCCGATCGCCACCGCCTTGTACAACGAGGTTATTACCGAGGAGAAGTGGCCCGTCCAACGGACGGGAGGCCAGATGCAAGACGTCTTCAAGAACAAGGGGGACCAGGCTGAGTGCGATGACTCACGAGGCATCGTCCTCGAGAACCACATCGCCAAGGGGTTGAAGCAACATCTTTCCCTGGACGTCATGCCCCACTACAATGCCAACCAGCCGGAGGCCCAGCATGGGGCTGTCGGAGGCCGGAGTGCCGACTTTGCCACGCACCTCGTGCGCGAGGCATTGCAGTATGCCGAGCTGGCCCAGCTCAGCATAGTCGTTCTCTTCATGGATCTGGTCAAAGCGTTTGACCGCATAGTGCGCGAGGTCACGCTCGGTTGGCCGGCTGACGCGCAGGATGCGCAGGACTACTTGCGCAGCCTCGGCCTCGATGATGACCAAGCCGCCTGGATTGCCGGTTTCGTGTCGGTCGACGGCTGCCTGTTCGAGCAGTGGGGCGTCCCGCTGAAAGTGATCAGGCTGCTCAATACGATGCACGCGCAGTCATGGTTCAGCTATGGCGACGTAGACGAGGCCATAGCGACCCGAGTCGGGGGGACGCAAGGATGTAAATATGGCGCGTGCCTGTTCAATTCTGCTCTTAGCACTGCACTGTACATGATATTTGACGTCCTGGTGGAGGCCGGGGTCGTCCTGACCATATCTAGTGACCAGTTTGCGCCTTGGGCCCCTGACCCCCCCTCCCAGGCAGATGGCTGCCAGCAGCACGTGTTAGACGCGGCCTTCGTGGATGACACCGTGCTTATTTTAATGGCTCCGACCCCCAGGGCCATCGATGGAGCCATAGACGTCCTCTTGCAGATAATGCAAGGCTTTTACCATGTGCTGAAGCTTGAGATCAATTCGAACGCTGGCAAAACGGAAGCTTTCCTGAAGTACAGGAGCAAGGGGGCAGCGGCGCGGACGCGCGCCCGGCGATCCGCACCTGGCGGGCCCATAGGCATCCGTGTGCCTAGCTCTTCTGCCTTGTTGCATGTGGTCCCCACTTACAAGCATTTGGGAGGAGAGGTCTCGGTGTCGGGGTCCTTAATCCCTCTCGCCCATGGCCGGCGCAAGCGTGCGTTGGCTGCTTATGCCCCGCTCGCCATGAAGGTGTTTGGATCCTCCCGGCTATCCCTCGACCTGAGGAGCTGGATGTTTCAGACCCTGGTCATGTCCCGCCTGGTGTACAATTTGCACACGGTTGTTCCCACGGGGCCATTCTTGACGATTTTGAATGATGTGTACCTCCGAGGCCACCGTCGCATGCATGATGCGGTCAGGGCCGGAAAGCGATTTTGCTTTTCGCTCTCGGACCCGTACTCCTTCGATTGACTGTCTCCTAGCCCGGGCCAGGCTTACGTACCTCGGCCGCCTGCTTCGATCGAGGCCCCCCGCACTCGTGGCCCTCTTGAGGCAACGCCCTCGTGGTCTACGATCGCGCTGGTTGAATTTACTTGTCAGTGACCTTCACCGCATGCGCCAGCTTGTGGCTAGGTGCTCCGGCTTGCCGAAGCCAGACGACGACCCCGAAGTCTGGACAAATTTTGTCATGCAAAATGCACTTCGCTGGAAGCAGTCGGTGGCGCTGTTGCATTTTGTCGACTCTGTGTGCGACGTGCGCGCCGACTCAGGCGATGAGGCCGGTTGTCGGCCTTTTGCTTGTGCTGAGTGCGGGGTTGCCTTTAAGAAACATCAAAGCAGTACACGCAGCACAGGAGAATTAAGCACGGGGAGCGCTGCCCACAGCGCTTCTACGCCACCGCGAGCGGGGTGTGCCCCGCTTGCGAAACCACCTTCGGCACGCGCCTTGCGCTCCTGAGCGACCTGTGCGACAGCAGGCGGAGCGCGTGCTGGCAGAGAATCGTTAACCACCCTAGAAGTACACGAAGACCTGAGGAAGTCGCCAACCTTGACGCCCTAGATCGCGAGGCCCGCACGGCGGCCAGGCGACTCGGCCACTCGCACGCGCTCGCCACAGGCGGCTGCGTGCGCAAGGACGGCACCCCCGTGGGCCGACCGACTGCTTGGGGGTGGTGCAAAATTTGTCGCTGCCACTTCTTCTTGAGACGCCCTGCGCAACCCTTGCACAACAGAAAACCTCCTCCTCCCGTCCTCCGGCGCGCCCCGCTGCCCCTCGGCGCGCTCCAGCAGCCTGGCCTCCCGCAGCAGCGCGGCCTCCCCCGGCGCGGCCCGCAGGCCCCGCGACAGCGCCGCGCGGGCCTCGCCGAGGTCGCCGAGCAGCCGCAGCGCCTGCGCGCGCCCAGCGTGCACGCGCGCGAAGGCGGGTCGTAGCTCCGCCGCCTGCCGGAAGAGCTCCGCGGCCCTGCGCAGCGCCTCCCAGGGGAGGGCCAGGAGGAGGACCAGGGCTTTGGTCGGCCACGCCTCGAGATTCCGCCTGAGATCCGGGCGTTGCAATTTTCTCACACCGGGCGTTTTCGCCCAGCTTCGGGCCCCGGGACCACCACAGATCGATCCGGCTCGAAAAATGACGCAGAAAGATGGGGTCTAGGGCTCAGATCGTCGTCGCCACGGCTAGACGCAGCTCGGAATACTGGTGCACGCGGAGCCCAGGAGGGGTCTGGGAATCGATTTCGAGGTGCCGTTGTCTCAACTCGCCCTGCTCCGAGCCTCCGTGCCGCGCCCCTCCGCGCCGCACCCGGCGCGGCCCTGGTTGAGCGCCGCGGCGGCGGCGGCCGCGAGCGCCTTTCCACGATCCTCAAATGAGCGAAGAAACCAATGGATCTTGCGCGAGTCGCGAAAAGACATAGCGACCTTACGCTGCGGCTTACGCGGGAAGCCAGCGTGACACGATACATTGGAAACGAGGGCGCTTATACGCGACCCTACGCGGGCAGCTTACGCAGGAACGTCGGCGCAATCGACCCCGCCTCTTCCGTCGCTCAGATGGTGTAAGCGCCAGATTGCTCTTGTCCACCGAAGGTCTTCAGTTCGACGCAGGCGGTGCGGTGTGTGACAACCGCCAACACTGCCTGCGTGCTATCGACGGCGCCGAACGGGGCAACACACAAATCAGGCTAGTACGATCCCGTTTTGTTATTAGCGGCAACGCCAGTGACTGGCCCCGCCTCGCCGCCCCACCCCACCCCTGGTGACGTCACGATTTGCGCCCGCGCCGTCTGCGAACTAGCCACTCCTAGTCATTCCCAGACGGTGCCAGCGCGAATCGTAGCGCTACCGGCCCCCTCCCCCCCTCCCCCCACCCCCAGGTCACGCCAGTTATCGCAATGGGGTGAAAAATGGCCTCCACACGTTCTGTAGGTGGCGACATCCCAACCCTACCCCCACCAAACATCGACTCTCCCGAACCGACGGGAAGCGGGGTAGGGCTTCAGACTTCGCCACATGTTCACCGAATTCCGAACCCTACCCCGGCCGCACATCGAGCTGCCTGAATCGTGGATCGGCGAGGGTGAAGTTTGGATTTCGCCGCCGGCTCTGAGGATCGTCGAGCCTTCCAGCTCTCCAGGACCTCCCGTCCGTGCACGGAGGCCCCAGCGCCGTACTCCGCGCTCAGGGCGCGCTGCAGCGCCGGCGCGGGCGCCCCCGCCGGCGGGGCGCTGGGCCGGGAAGCGGGGAGCAGCCGCAGGACCTGCTCCCGCTGGCAGGGGAAGAGGATGACGCAGCTGCTCCCGTCCGCGGTCTCCCGGTACTCGCCCTGGTAGAAGGCGGGCTGCCTGAGGGCCAGGAATTGCTAGAGGTGTCCCTGGCCCAGATGTTCGCCCCCTCTTGGAGCCCCTGAGACCCCCTGGGCCTCGTGAGGGGTGCTCTGAGACCGTGAGGGGCACCATCGGCCAGGGGAACTTCTGAGGAACCAAAAGAAAAAAAAACGATCCCGCCACTCCCCAGACCGCTCCCAGGGCGCGTCCTGACGGGAACTTCGAGGCGAATCCAGCCGTGGCGCCGAGGGCCTCCCTGGGGGCATCAGGAGGCCTCAGAAGGCCCAAACGACGGAGGGGCAGCGGCATCGGTACCTTGTCCTCCTCTAGCTGCCTGCGCGTGTCGTGGTACAGCTGGGTGCGGGCCAGCGCCTCGGGTGCGCCCAGCCCGTACAGCCTGCCCAGGAGCAGCGAGCAGACCGTGCCCGTGCGGCCGTGGCCACCCCGGCAGTGCACGTACAACACCTCGCCGCCCCGCAGCCGCTCGAGCAGCTGAGCGACCAGCTGCTCCACGAGCGCGTCGCTCGTGACCTTGTTCTAGGAAGCAGTTCCCCTGAGATCCTGGCGTCGCAGTTCCCTCGAAACGGCCGAGTTTGCCTTGCTACGGGCCCCGGGACCCTCACATGTCACTCGGGCTCGATAAATGTTGCAGAAAGATGGGGCCCAGGGCTCCGGGTGACTTGTTTCCCACCCGACAGGTCGGGGCTGAACTCCCGTCTGCCCGCCCTGCATACCGCGGTCGCCAGACCCCACAGGATCCCGGGAGTCCCTGGATATCCCGCCTCGCGTGCTCGACGAATGACGACACCATGCTGCCGTCGCCAGACCCCACAGGATCATGGGAATCCCTGAATATCCCGCCTCGCGTCGTCGACGAATCACGACACCCTACATACCAGACAGTCCCGAGGGAAAGGCGTCACGGCGTCACGCCATCCAGGCGTCACGAGGCACGAGCAAAGAGGCATAAAGAATCGGCTTCAAGAACACACAGGGAGAACGGAAGCATAGATCAGAACAAACAGCATATGGCATAGCAAGGTGTAACAGAGTATACCATCGCGGGACATACTAGACTGACCACATCATAACATAGCTCCTAGTAGTACACAGTAACATATCATAATGAAACCTAGCAGGGCATAGCAGAGCCTACGATAGCATCGCATAGCATCATTCAACGGAAGCAAAACCTAAGGGAACATAGTTTAACATGAATAATATACGACTGATACCACTACGGCAACAAACATGCTACGTCACCGAAGATTATGACATACTTAGAGGGGAATAGATAACATAATATAACGTAACAAACTGAGCAGAGCATAACACAACGCAGTAGAACAGAGCCTAACTGGGCGGTGAGCGTTACAGAACAGAACATGGCATAATAGAGCATAACAGAACACAACCTCACAGGACAGTTCACTTCATGACATAACGAATCAACATGTGACCGAACGGGTCACAACAGAGTACACTTTCGTATAACATACCATCATATATCCTGGCAGAACAGGGCCTGACATAACACCGTACCACCTAACAGATGATGCCATGACCTAGCATCACATTTCAGTATGTGACCAGAAAGCTCATACAAGAGCATGCCACAAAGCAGGATACCATAGCATAGCAGAGTTGATATACTGCTGATACCACTACTACGACAACGGGTGCACGATGCCATAAAACAGTGTACCCGAATTGCATAGACATAGCATACCCGGAAAACGGCAAACAACATTATAGAATGAGTGAACAGAGCATGACGTAACACTGCATACCAAAACATAATAGAGCACAACAAAACACAGCATACCAGGACATAACAGGTAAGTTCACAACCTAACATCACATGGCAAAACATGTCATAGCATGCAATAACATAACATAATATGACAAGTCAGGCTGTGCCAGAGCGGGGCATCACAGGCCATAGCACGACAAAAAATACCAGGATACAGCTGAATATGTGTATATATATATATACTACGGCTGACACTACGACAGCGACTACAAGATAACATCAAAAAGGATGTAACCTACTTGAAAAAGAATATCACACTACGGCAGAGGATAACACAAAATAATGCGATACATACCGAGCGTCAAAAATAGCAGAACATAACAGAGAGTAGTGTAAAAAAAAATCTACGTCTTTGACCTTTGAACTTTGAGAGAGGGCACGGATCTGACAATAGCATCGCTTAGCCCATCATGACAGCAAAGCTAAGCAACCATAACACCATACATGAAGTATACTGCAACACAGGACAAATTATATAAGATCTTTGAACAAGACATACATGGAGCGCAACTTCAGAAAAAAAAGAGTGCTAAGCAACAGCTATGTGGCAATCAACAAACATGTATATATAAGTGCAATCCCAGAAAAAAAAAAAGAAAAAAAAACAAAAAAAAAAAAAAAAAAAAAAAAAAAAAAAAAAAAAAAAAAAAAAAAAAAAAAAAAAAAAAAAAAAACATCCTTTTGTAATAGAACAGAAGAGAACGAACATATGAGACCATAGCAAAGAACCTGATATTACAGACCATAACATGTTACTGTTGAGCAGCACATGTTATACCGTATCAGAAAACTGAGCGTAATACATATAACGTCGTAGAAGATAACATATATCAAGAAATGACATTTAAAAAGAACATTGTCGACTAGTCCAGAATCAAGCAATGTTGGATACAGTATAAAAGAAGTCATCAGTGGCCGACTAACGGCGTGCTATCAAACGACGTGCGCGACGAGGTCAGGCTGGCCACAGGAACAAGGAGGCGCAGCAAAAACAGATTCGACGACGTATTCACCGTGACAGGCGTCACAACGTAGCGCCGTCCCGTCCAAAACAGAACAGAACATAATGGAACAAAATGGAGCAGAACATGAGTGAATAGAAGACTATTGAAGACTGTAGAATACACCACCGATCGATTCATGGCGCCCTATCAGACGCAACATGCGAGCCGACGTAAGGCTGACCAGAGGAATGAACCATATATGAATTTCATCGAACAGAACATGGTAGTAGAATGCAGCAGCGACCGAGGAGCTGCGTCTTCTCAAAAGCGACATGCGCGCCGAGCTCAGGCTGGCCAAAGTAACAATCAGCACCAGACTCGGGAATAAACGCCAAACATTTCGGTGGAGATCGCACGAAGAAAAACAAGTCACGATGATGCGATGTGTTCGAGACGTCGGATCTCAGGAACTCCTGGCTATTGAGCCCGACTGAGAGGCCATTGAGCCAGATTAACCCATATGAAGCCCAGGGCTAAGCCCGACGAAGCTGGATGAAGCGGGATTAAGCAGGATGAAGCGGGATTATGCCAGATTGAGCTTGTTTTCGAACACGGATATGCCAGCGCCGGTGCTGAACTTGACCTCCCAGGAGTTGCATCCTAACCTTCTGGTCTTGTATCGGCTGCTCCACGAAGCGCGTCCCCTCATTGATGGCCAGCGCGCGGGCCCGGTAGTCGATCGCGACCTTCAACTCTGGGCGCGTCTGCAGGCAGACGATCGTGGTGACACCCCCCTCCAGGATGGCGCGGAGGCCCTCCGCGGAGTCCAGGCCGCTGCGGTCGCCGCACAGGACGAGCCCAGGGACCACCCAGTTCGACTTGTCGGTGGGGCCCCGGAAGAGCCCCAGGAGCTCGCCACGCGTGCGGCTTACGGGGGGAAGCAATGGCAGCGCCATAGGGGCCGGCCAGTTGCTGCCGGGCAGGGCCTGGCGCGAGCTTCTGCAGGGACGGGCCGAGCTCAGGCTCGGCTGGGCGTGCACTGGCGTGCACTGTTGGGCCTGAGGGCTGCAGAGACCAGGGCGACAATTGGGGGAGGGGGCGAGGGGAATGGGCCAGACGAGGGAGGGCCCCTCGTATCTAGGCGACACAAGAGAAACCATGGCGAGACGAGGGATGTTCTCCGCCTCCTAGAGACGTCTCCCCGCCCCGGGACCGTCAGAAAACGGCTCGAGATGAAAAACTGGCCCTGGGGAAGGGGTCGAGATCTTCGTGGGGAGCGCGTCACGAAAAAAAATGCGACGGCGGAGGAGAGGGAAGGAGGAGAGCAGAGAAGAGTGAGGGCGAGTAGCGCGAGGAGGAGCAGCAGGGCCGAACGATCTGTCCAAGACGCCTTGACGGCCTCCAGACGGCCCAAGAGGCCTGCAAAGCGCCCCGAAGAGGCCTCCAGGAGCTTTCTCACGAGAGCCCCAAGAGGCAAAATTCATGGATTTCCCATACGTTTTTGAAAGATTTGGCGTTCTTGCCTCTTCCGCTTCCCGACGCGCCAAGACGGCCCAAGAGGCCCCCAAAATCGCCCCGAGACGGCCCAAGAGGCCCCCAAGAGGGTCCCCTAACGGCCGAAGAGGGCCCCAAGACGGCCCAAGACGCCTCCAAGACGGCCCAAGAGGCCCCCAAGACGGCTCCAGGAGAGTGCCCAGACGAGGGACCCGAACGGACATTTCGAGCTCTCAGCCCCGAGAGGCCCCCAAGAGGCCCCGAAGAAGCTCCAAGAGGCCCCAAGAGGCCCCCAAGGGGCCCCCAAACTGCCCCAAGACAGCCCAGCAGAGCCCCAAATTGCCCAGGAGGACTCCAAGAGTGCCTCGAGACGGCGCAAGAGGAGCCCTGGATGGCCCAAGACAGCCTCCTCAGGAGAGCCACAGGCTGTCCCAAGCAAGCCTCTCCTCTTCCTCCTCCTCCTCCTCCTCCTCCTCCTCCTCCTCCTCCTCCTCCTCCTCCTCCTCCTCCTGCTCCTCCTCCTCCTCCTCCTCCTCCCCTCCTCCTCTCCCCATCCTCCCTCCCCTCCCCATCCTCCCTTCCCTCCCCATCCTTC